CCTTTATTGTCATTGTACATGTACAAACAAATTATGGGTGCTCCACGCTGTGCAGCAATAAACAACAAATAGGAGAAAAACATAAGTAGTGCAAAGGACTTGATGTGAGTATAGAGTCTGTGTGAGTGGCCTGAGTGACGTGGGTTACCTCAGGCCGCGGGGGGGCGGGTGGGGGTGTAGGCGAAGCTGTTTGACAGTAAAATAGTCAGTCTTGCGTGAACGCTGATTTGAGAGCAGTTTGTGACGTTTCCATCCTCCCAGCATGACAGACGGAGCTCAGCAGGCACTGAGGAGGATCATGGAGATCTACTCGAAGACGACGCGCTTCGCTCTCGCCTGCAACGCCTCCGATAAGATCATCGAGCCGATCCAGTCCCGCTGCGCCGTGCTGCGCTACTCCAAACTGACCGACGGCCAGATCCTCGTCCGGCTACAGGAAGTGGTGGAGAAAGAGCGCCTCTCGGTGTCCGACGATGGACTGGAAGCCATCATCTTCACCGCGCAGGGAGACATGAGACAGGTGAGGGGCGGAGCTTAGTCGGGCGCACATCCCAGAGGTTGAACATGGATTTTCTGAACTTGTTTTGGCCTTTTCTCTCCAGGCGCTGAACAACCTGCAGTCCACTCACGCCGGCTTTGGCTACATCAACAGCGAGAACGTGTTTAAGGTGTGCGACGAGCCCCACCCCCTGATGGTGAAAAGCATGCTGGGACACTGCGTGGACGGGAACATCGACGAGGCCTACAAAGTCGTGGAGCAGCTGTGGGCGCTGGGCTACTCTCCAGTGGACATCATCGGGAACATCTTCAGGGTCTGTAAGACCTACCAGATGGCCGAGTACCTGAAGCTGGAGTTCATCAAGGTGAGTTCATCAACGGCGCCGCTAAAAATCAGCTGATCGTGACAACTTGTAAACCTCTGGTGGTGCCAGCACATGGCAGCTGCTCTGTGAAGGCAGATTATTATATCTTATTATACCCTTCACTCGTACGCCGCCATTAGTGTTTTCAGCAGTGAGTTCGTAGGCGTCGGTATCTGGACTCATGTAACCAAACATCGGGGACGAGCAGGTGAGCAGTCAGTGTAAACTACATTTATACATCACCACATTAAAGCAAGGACGTTCCCGTGACAACATGATGCACTTTTGAGATTAAATATATAAACAGAATTCTAATATAGTGTTTGTACAAGATGAGAGTTGAGAGTGTAGTTGTTCTGTTTTAGTATCAGGGGGTGTCCGAATTCATGGGCTGCTTCCTCCTGAGG